TCCTTCTTTTGCTATGTGAATGTTAGGCTGCAAAACCTCTTTAGCAGAATACAAGGGAAAATAAATTGCCAGGTTTAAATTTAATACCTAGTTCTCATGCTAAATAATTATGGCTGAACTGGAAACCTTGATAAAGTAATGAGTAGCCCAATCTATTATGTGTAAAGTATCAACCAAATTTTTATATATTGGATTCTTTTAGCAGGTTGACTTCTATGTAGCTGTAAAATATGCAAGATATTAGGCACCTAAACCAGATTAGTATAGTCTCAGACCACTTCTCCTAAGAATACATACTGATGCACACACACATACACACACACACACACACACACACACACACTAAAAATAATAGAATAATGTGATTTTTGAGAAAATATGAGCAAATTTAAATATTTACACTACTTTAAACAAATGTAGACAAAGAGAGCTTGTACATATGCTTTCAAAGGAAAGGCAAAGGAGCAATAAATAGCATTTTTCAATTCACTGCATACTTTGCTCTGATAAGTCTGCCTTATCTTGACATTCCTCGTTTTAAAATCCTCCAGTGGCTTTCCAGCACCACCAGAAAGTTTAGTTTCTTTAACAACCATAATTTCTTATCTCTCACCTTTTTGCGCATTCATTCACCCATTCTGTAACATGTACGGGACATATAATTACACCCAGTGATGTACTAAGAGCTGGGACTGCAGCAGTGAACAGGTATGTAACCTGTCTTCTTAAAGTTTAATCTATTGGGAGTGATAGAATTCAACTGAATAGTGACAAAAAGAAGTGTAAAAGTATATATGTGGCCAATTCTTTGGAAGAAAGGTACATGGTGCACTAAACATAGTCTAGTTTCTAGGCAGAAGTAAAAGCAAAGACAAAAGCCCTACAGGAACAAGGAACATGATACATTTCTAGAAATAGAAAAGGAATTTTAGAATCTAGAAAGAAAAGAGATATGAAAGAATTGGAGGTAAGAGATGAGAGAGGGAGGTGCAGCTAGATCTAAGAGTGTTGGTTTTGGAAGTACAAACCACAGATGATAGTTTGAACTAAGTGGTCTTGATGATGGTGATACAGAACTACTGATGGATTTGAGAGAGATTTCAGAGTAAACTGGGCAGAAATTAATAAATTATTGGAGAAAGGACAGGGAAGTTTTAAAGATAAATTTTATGTGTATGTCATACCGAAAGATGAATTGCAGTGTCATTTACTAGAAGTGTACTAGATTTAAGAGGACCATTATAAATTTAATTTTGGACATGTTGAGTTTGTTTGAAATATTCCAGAAGAGATGTCAAGTTCTCAGTTTGGGTTGAGCTCAGATAAAAAAAATCTTAGCTAGATTTAAAAATGTATGTCCATGTGTGGATAAGAGCCATGGGTGTGGATGAGATTTCCCAGGAAAAATATCATTGCTTAGAAAGAGATCTTTACTGCTAGTCTTAAGAAATTCCAATTCTTTTGAGCTAAGTAGAATGAGATATCTTGCAAGGGGTACCAGGAAAGGAACATATTTTAAGGACAGAAAGGAAAAAAATATGCTTTTAGAAAGGACTAAAGAAAAGAATGCTTTAAGAAGAGCAGAATACACAATAGTGAATGAGAACTGAGCAAGAAGTCCATTGGATATGTGATAATCCCTACAGGCCTAAGGGAGATGATCTTCGTGCAGTAATGGAAGCTGAAGCTAGATTCAGGTATGAACAGAAGTACAAATTGCAGATGTATAGACAGGTTATAGAGGCAATTCCTTTAAACTGTCAGTGACAAAGAAGAGATATTACTTGGTATCTCTATCCCAGCTAGGTATTAGGTAAACTTAGACATCTCTTGCTTGCAAAGATTTCTCTGAATTCCACCTCCAACCACATGACTTTATTAGGGACTTCTTCCATGAGTTCCCATATAACTAATTTCTATTGTGCCACATACTACAATCTTTTGTCACTGGTAGTGACTTTGTGTTAAATTTTAACCCACAAAGTGCCATTTCTACAGTGTACCCTCAATACTTGAGTCTCATAACTATCTGCTGATTTTAAAAGCAGAATAACAAAGAATGGAACAGACATCTCAGAATTTTCTATGCATGTGTGAGTGTACAAATCAATTACACATTAGTATTGCTTTCATTTGGTATTTATTTTTAATTGGCAAATAAAATTATACATATTAATGGTGCATAGTGTGATATTTTGACTTATATATACATTGTGGAATGTTTAAACCAAGTTTATTAAAACTTTTTGTGGTGAGAATACTTAAAATCTACACTTGTAGCAGTCTTAAGTATACCATGCAGTGTTTTTAGCTATAGTCACTATGTCACACAATAGATCTGAATTTATTCTTTCTATCTGACTGAATTTTGTATTTTTAGACAAATATCTCCCCCCTTCCCAGACCCTGGTAATCATTATTTTGCATTTTGCTTTTATGAAGTTTGGCATTTTTTAAAGATTACACTTAATAATGAAATTATGCAGGATTTGTCTTTCTGTGTCTGACTTATTTCACTCAAAATCATGCTCTAGCTCCAGCTAGGTTGTCACAAATGTCAACCTTTTTAAAAAATGGTTGAAAAGATAGTCCATTGCATATATACATATATATCATTCTCTTTATCCATTTATCCATTAAGGGACTCCTCTCAGGTTGATTATGTATCTTGGTTATTGTGAATAATGCTGCAATGAACACTGGAGTGCAAATATCTCTGACATACAAATTTCATTTCATTTGGATATATAGCTGTAGGGAGCAGAGTATGAGAAGATTATGAGGACATAAACACAGTTGTACTCAATATTCTGCAGGCTGAGTTTGGCACAGCCCCAGCCACAGAAGAGAGCTAGAAAGGGAGATGCAGCTCAACTGCGTTTCCTAAGTTGTTTAATGCAGGTTTCTCCTGTTACAATGTGTGCTCGCCCTGAGAACCTTTGCTCCACCTCCTGTTTACCACTGGATATAAAAGACTCACTGACGGAGGACTCAAGACTTTTGGATGGAGAGATTTTTGATGGGGAGCTTTTTGATGGGGCATTTTTGGCTGAAGGGAAAAGAATTGCTGAAGGGGAATTGCTAAAATGGAATTGCTAAAGAGGTGTTGATAGAATTGGTTGGCAGCTTGCGAGGGAACTGCCCCTGAATGACGCAGCTGATGTTGTTTGTCTGCAAGACTAATGGCCAAGACTTTAAGAAAGCTAAAGAAAGAACATGGGACAGTGCAAGTCTGCACTGAGAACTTTATGCGTAGGCTTTAGAAAAGTTAAGCAAAAGAAAAGCTTAAAGAACATGGGACAGTGAAAGTCTAGGACCAAGACTTAAAGAAAAGCTAGTAGAAAACATGAGACAGTGCAAGTCTAAGGAAAGAGACTTTAAAGAATAGAAAAAAAGACTTTAGAAGCAAGGTTTTAAAAGATTGTAAAAGAGTAAGGCCTTAAAGAATAAAGATAGAGAAAAGAAGCAAAATTAAAGAACAGAATAAGAGAGAAAAGAAGCAATGAGGCTGTTGTACGGCTCCACCCAAGCACCAAACACACCTGGCCCCAACTTTCTACATGTCTGTCTGTCCATCCTTTGTCCTTTCTGCATCTCCCATCAATGGAGAAATAACTGCAGCCCCAGTTAGCCCCAGTTAGATTCAGTAGTAACAGGGGTAAGAGAAACCTCACTTTATCATATGGCAGTTCTATTTTTAATAGAACATTCCTTTTACTCCATATCTTTGCCAGGCCCTTTGCCCATTTTTAAATTAGTTCATTTAAAAAAAATTATTGTTATGCTGGGTGGGGGTACACTGTGGCATTTACAAAAGTTCTTAGGATGTATCAAATATATCATACTTGAATTCACCCCTCCACCATTCTCCTTTATCCCCCTTTCCCCCCATTCCTAGAATAATTTCAACAGGTAATATTTTTGCACTTACATACATATGTACATATTATTTGCACTGTATTCACCCTCCTACACCATTTTCCTGATACATTACCCCTCGTAGTACCCCCCAGGACCTGTTCTTGTTCTCTGATTTTGTAGAAGGAAAAAAAGAGAAATAAATGACATTTTTGCTTGTTTAAGGTAAAGCTAGCTATACAGGGCATTTCCTTGTGACATTTCCATGTACATATGTGTTATAACCACAATTGGTTCATCTCCTTTTTCTTGTTTTGGGGCTTTTGCAAGTGTTCATATGTTTTAAATATTGACCCATTATCAGACGTAGTGTTCACAAACATTTTCTGCCATTCTATATGTTATCTTTTCATTTTGATGATTGTTTCTTTTACATGTTTTTTTTTTCTTTTTCTTTTTCTCTGTCTACATCTTTACTGCCAACTAGGAACCAGTCTTTGATTTGTTGTTAATTTTTTGAGTGAAACAATTTCTTCTTACATTAGGGCTCTGCAAATAGTGTTCTCTTTGCCTCAAACACTTTCTCAACATTTTCCTTTTCTTATTTGTCCTTCAGGACTCAGCTTAAGTTAATTTCTTCATAAAGGCCATCTTTAAACTTCCTAAAGTTTAGAAGGATCAGCTCGGCAATCCATTCATCCATCCATCCATTAACCTTCTCACAGAAGTCTGCCTTTTTCCTTAATAGTATCTACTACAATTACATGTCTTTTTGTTAGTCTGTCTCACTGACTCAAATTTCTATGAGGCAGAAACTGTTTATCTTGTCAACTGCTATACCACCAGGGCCCCAGTATCTTATATACAGTAGATATTAGTACTCTTTTCACAGAAAAACCTTTGATCCCACTTTGGTACCCTCAAAGGAGTAGGTAAAGACACCCATAACGTTTGTGAGCTTTGTGGTGGAACAGTGGCTAAATGGCCAGAGGGATTTAGAAGGTTAAGGCTGGATGAGTGGGATGCAACAAAGAAGAGATGAGGAAAGTATGGGGTACACATTTAATGAAGTTTCCACTCCACTCCCACATCATCCTATCCCTACCCAAAATATGTAATTAGAAAATAATTTATTTGCTCTTTTAGAGAATTAGGTAATCCAAATTGTGATTTGGATACCAGTGATAAGGCTCCTTTCTCTTGACCAATAGTTGTCCACTGAATACTTTCACCACTTTCATGGACTTGGAATCAGTAAGCCTGGCAACTTCACCAAAGAGGTGGGCACTCAGACGAGACATGTGCAATCCATATTCTAAAAGTGAAGACATTTCTTGAGCAGTAAGGAGCAAAATTCCCTGGTCCTTACCTTCCTCACCTATGTGCCCCAGTCCCAGAAGTTTTTAATCAAACTTTCATAAGGAAGTAATTTGCCTACATAGTTTTGTTTTGATCCCATGTTGTTGATGAAACTATCTTCTCATTGCTGCTATAACTTAAAAATAATATTAGGTCAAATTGAAATACTAAAAATTAAAATAATAACATACTACTGGACTGTGATTATCTTTGATTAAATCTATGCAAAGCATTATATTTCCAAGTGGAACTAATTATTAGAACTATACATAAGTATATTCTAATTAGCTGAATCATATACATTTTTCTCAAATGTGAATGTTAAGATAGTATCTGAACATGTATTCTTTAGACTTTCTCAGCAGAAGTGTATGAAAAATTCAATGTAAAAATGCATTTCATGAAAATCTAGGTGTGACAATATGAAAACATTATCTTTCAGGGAAACTTTAAAATTGCCAACCAAGTAAAAGCATAGATGCTATTATTCTTATGTTATTTTTGAAGACAAGATGTTTTATACCAGCAAAAAAATGTTGCTTTTTGACTTTAGGAAATTCACTTCCTCTTTTTACTTTATATTAGAAGAATGGCATCATCGACCCATCAGCTGTCACTTTGGATTTCAGACAGCATTGTGAGCAACCAGGCAACTGATGAAACACTGCATCAGTTCTGTTTCAGAAGTACATGGCTCCATGCTTGCGAAAGGCAGTGGTATAGCTGCCAATGCAGATTAGGAGTAAATTAGTGCTTATCCACCACAGAACTGCACTAAAAACTTAGAGAAGCCCCTCAACTCTCCTTGGAATACTCAGCACTGCCTTTGATCCTGAGGTCAATTACACCCCCTTTAAAGGAGCTCAATTTTATTTAGCATCATCAAGAATATGTTTTAAGGAAAATATTTTTAAGGTGAGTAATAAAATTCTGACTTCCAGAAAACAAAATGAAGTCATTTCAGGTATGATAAATGAGATTATTTATTAGGACATGTTTGTGTCCCCAGGGTAAAATATTTCAAGCAAGAAAGTCAGGATTATTGATTTCATTCTATCCTAGTCTTCCTGCAGAACTATTTCAATTAAGTTGCTATCTTGATAGCAACTGGAGATGCTATCTTGGTAACAAAACCATTTGGATGCCTAGATATTAGAAAATTTCCAGTCTATTTTAAATGAGCTAATGTGTGTAATCAGTTTTCTCTTGGCTTCCATGCAATTTGATATGGCAAGAGGAATTGTGAAGACCATACTTTACACTTATTGTTACTGCTGAGTTTTCTATTAAGTTAGGAACTGACATATGGCCTCAATTTATAATGATACTAGCTATTTGAAAGTATTTGTTTTTAATGGAAGAAACATGAGATGTCTAAATAGATTGTCACAAAAAAGAAAGATATTTTACTTTATAAGTAGGAAGGATTTATTCTACAGCTTGAAAACTCATTAATGTAAGTTTTAAGTAGGAAAAATTTAGCCCTGATTTTGAAATAAAGCATTAAATTAAACACATTGTTTAATCCTAAGAATTTTTTAGTGATTTATAGGAAAAGTTGCATAAAATGAAACATGATTATTGGTTTGCTAAAATAAACACTACTTGAAAAATTTCATTAATAGTAAGAGTTCACAATACATTACAATCTGTACCTAATGCTATTGTATAAAAAATTAGAAAATTTTATTGAAAATTTTACCCACTCAAAAATGTAAAATTAAGATGCAGTTACAATTCTTTAATTAACTATTATAGCATTCAATAGCATTAAAAATGTTATTTCATATTTCATAAAAAATTAAGAAAAATGTTTAAATATATTTGAAAAATTATCTTCAAAATTTATTTAATAATATAAAATGGACAAAAGTATGAAAATTATGAATGATTAAAAGGTGTTAGTTCAAAATCCTAAAATGAAGATTAAACTAAAATTCTAGGAAATTGCATGGCAATTAAAATAAAGAACTTTACAAAACCTAAAAATTTTAAATTCTTAAAATCACCATTCCTTTTCTAACAATGCATTCTACAGCACCTCTGAGCACTTGAACTGTAAAGTAACACGAAAAACCTACAGCCTCAAGTCCAGTGCTGGAGGCAGCACTAAATTAAAGAAAAATTATACTGGACATAGGGGTTATGTCAAATATCTTGGAATAAATGAGTGTTCTGGAAAGTCATCTTTCAGCTGACAGATAAAAACACTTAATTCTAGCATGCTGTCTTCTCTTATTGCCTTATCCAGAGGTGCCATGATACAGCTTTGCAGTTGGGAATATGAGGAAATGTAGCTACATCTTGTAATTACACATACAAAATGCACAATAATGCCAAGGAATCTTGTCAAGCTCATGAAAAGGGAAATGTTGAATTTTTCCTGTTTAGCAAGCCATTGATAAACTGTGTTCAATTTTGATTTGGCATTTTTCAGCTTGTATTGATATTCTGTAATGTACCTATAGAGTTATCCTAATTAAATTCCTAAATGGGAAAATGATATTTGAGGAGAAATTACTAAAATAAGATTAATTTAAATACTGTGAAAATGAAAATTAGAAAAAAAAATCAAATAAAATTCACATAATTAAACAGATGGTAGGAATAATAATAGTTTTCTGAAGTTGGGAACCAACTTTGGCTATAAGTTTCCTCACAAAACTGCAGAAATTTTAAGTAATGTCTTAATTTTTATACAATTGCAAAATTACATGTATATTGAAAAATAGTACAATGATTTCTTATATATCTTTAATCCAGTTCTGCCAATTGTTTACACTTTGCCCATTTTCTACTCATGTATACTTATATAACCACAGATTTATGTATATTTATATGTGGAATCATTACTTTTTATGGATCATTTGAAAGTCAGTTTTGGAAATGTCATGCCTCTTTACTCCCATATAATTTTCTCTGCATTTCGTATGAACAAGGTCATTTTCTTATTAACAACTGTAAGAGAAAATTAGCTAATTGAACATTAATGTAATACAACTAGCTAGCCAGTGTAAGATGCAGTCCAGGATGATAAAACAGTCAGTTGTTATGTCCCTAAGATGCCTGTGCTTGGTCATTTTGTCAGATTTCTTTGCCTTTCTTGCTCTTGCTGCCTGTGCAGAATGCAAACCACTTATTTGGTCATATCCTTTGGTGTGGGTTTGTCTGATATTCTTTCATTAATAGATGGAGACTGCGCATTTTGGTCAGGAATATCACATGTCTGGCTTTGTGGTCTTCCCAGCACAATTTATCAGGAGTCCTAAGGTAATGATTGTCACAACGCCATTGATCACTTTTATCAGGTGGTGTCCACTAGATGTACATATTGCAAAGTTCATATTTTCTTTTTTTTGTAATGAATAACTTATTTATGGGGAATTTTGGCACAATATAATTATCTTGTTATTCATCAAACTTTCATCCACTATTGGTATCTATTGATGATTTTCTAAACACTATAATTCCTTTGACATTAAATTATAAGCTTTCTAACATAAAGAGAAGCTTATCCATCTTTTTGGTTAAGTGTGTCAGGGTATATTTATAAATTTTTACTTTATTCACTAGATTATAGTCTATTAATATTTATTTATTTAAATGTAAAAATGTCCTAGATTCAGCGAGAATCACGTAGAAGTCTACTGGAGTAGTTTCCTGTATTCTTTTCATTTAGCTTCATTATTCTTTGATATTTCTTTACTTTCTGGCACAAGAATTTCATTTTAATAATGAAACTAGAAATTGATAAGTTAGGTACCTTAGAGTCAACTATTTCTGGAAGGATTGATGAATCCTTTCAGGGAAAGAAAAAATTTCTGGGCATTAAGTATGCTCCTTGTAAATGATTCTCCAAGTGTGCCCATAATTAATGCCCATGGGCCCCCTTAGTTAGGGACTGCAAACACAGGCACACACTTGCAATACATATTCCCAAACATAAGTCTGTCTTTTTCACTCTCTGTCTTTCCACCTAGTATCCCTAACTGAAGGCATAAATTTCTTCTAAGACCTCCATTCTCAACCCAACATCATAGGATTTGATCTCTTCCTCTGTGTGTTCTTATCTGGAACTCTGAGCAATTTTTCTATTCGATACTCCCACCAGAATGTTTCATCCTTGTTCTGCATCCTTGCCAATATTTGATGCTATTATACTTCCTCAATTTCAGCCATTCCAGGGGTAAAATAGTGGTACAATAAATGGTTTAATTAGCATGTCTCAAGGTAATAATGTCAAACATATCTTCATATCTGTATTGACTTCCTTTTGACATGTTTTTTCCTACTTTTGTTCAGCTATTTTTTTTATTATTGTGTTGTATGAGACTAATGTCTGCTCTCTGTTCTGTAATCAGTTCTTTGTCAGACACATTAGAAGTATTTTCCTATAACTTATGGATGACTCTTCCAATTTCTTTGTGATGTCTTTTAATTTAGATGAAGTCTGATTTATCAAATTTCATGTTATTCCTCAAGATTATGGTCCTACTGAAAAAAGTTTGCCTACCTGCCTTCCCTTGTTCATGCAGATATTTTCTTTTGGACTTTGTGTTTAAATTTATGCTAAAATTTAAATAAGTGTGTGTGTGTGTGTGTGTGTGTGTGTGTAGGGATTTGATGGGAACTCAAGTTTTGTTTTTTTTTTAATCCCATATGAATCACCACTTGAGCCAAGATCACTGTCAATTTTTTTTTCTCCTTTGAATTGCTATGAATCTGTCTTTAAAATCAATTGATCATATGTAAATGAGTGTGTTTTTGAACTCTGTTCTTGTGTGAAAACTACATTCTCTTGACTGCTTGACTTTTATTATACAAATGGAAGTCAGGTAGCTATTTCTTTCAATTTTGTTCTTTGTCAAAACTATTTGGTTATTCCATGCCATCACATTTTCATGTGAATTTTAGAATCATCTATTTGAAAAAATTCTCTTGGAATTTATACTTGTTATCCTTTGTTTTCTTA